ATTAACCCTTTTATATTTATTAAAATATAATTAAACGTAAAGTCGAATTTTATTATAGCGAGTATATTCTAAGATATCCCTTTTTTCCTATTAAAGAATCTCTTTTAAGAGGAGGCCTCTATAAAGGCCGATATATAAGTTCTATTAATAGCTCTAATATAGCTATTAAATTAATAATATTATAGATTTAACTTAATAAATTTATTAAAGAAATCGTCGATAGGAAGCTTTATAACTTTAATATAGAGTTTATATAATATTTATAATATTTTATTAAATATCTTTAGAATATAGCTTTAAAGGACTTTTAATAGACTTTCTATTACTTTTTACGTTACTATATAGTTAACGATATATAGAAAAATTAATAGCTTCTATTCTATTAATTAATATTAAGAGCCTTAAATAATATATTAAGCTCGTATTTAGCTCGTAAATACTTAGAATTCTAGCTTTAAGATACGAAATATATTAATAAAAGTATAATCTAAGCCCTTTAATTAAACTATTACGAGCTATTATATTAAATATATTTACTCTAGTACTTATTAGTATAAGGCCTCTTAATAGAACTATAGAGGAGGCGAGAGGAGGTCGATAATAAAAGGTAGAATTAATATAATGACTTCGTCGATTTTATCGTTAATCCTAAACGATTTAGATTCTTCTATTAATAATTAAGATACCTCTATTTTAGTATATATTAGCCTAAAAATAGGTATCTTTTTAGTATTAAGAGGGTGCTTTAAATAATTAATATTAAATTATAAATCCCTTCTTATTTAGGGAAGGTCTAAATAAACTAGGGTACCTTATTAGCGTAGTATATTTATTATATAATATTCGGTTAAATATTAGCCTACCGTTTATTTAATATAAAACGCCTATTAAATTAGGTAAAGCGTTATAGGCACGGGCTATATTCTATATAGGTTAATGATCTTTTAGCACTAAATGCTCGAGACGATCAGGGCCTAAGGGGGGCGAGACAACTCGGTCCAGAAGCACGAGGAGGCGACAGACGGAATGCTGACCGTGGCCTAGCTCTTAAAATGGATCACGTCGACAGTCTTGGTACAGTCAAGGCGGTGAACTGGTTGTGGTCGCGGAGAAACGTCAACAAGAGAGAACAACATACATTCCCCAGGCTACAGGCTCAGGTGATACAGCGCGCACAATCGAAGGCTGTGGGGCGTGCCGATGGCATGTCTCGAGGCAGCGGCCAGCTATTGATGCGAAGAAGACGACGTCACGGGCGTCTGTTGCTTGGCAAGGCCGTCCGATTTTGATTCGACATGTTTGTTATGCTGTCGAGATAACTCTCTTTTTTACTGGAACGATGCTGGCAGGGCCGCCCATGACGACCCGGTCGTGTCAGTTCATGCATGCATCATCTGCGTGGGACAAACGCATGGGCCTGGTGAGAGGCCGCATACGATGTCTTTGGTGGGGAAGAGCAGCATGAACTGGCGGAGAGATGGGCGAGCTTGCTGTAGGTAGGTAGGTAGGTAGGTAGGTAAGTAGGTAAGGTAAGTAAGGTAGTTAGGCACCATGGTGAGAGGCAATGTGCCTCCAGCCGAGTAAGCAATGCCTTGGAAGGTGTACTCGCACCTTGTGTGCTCACAGCTTGTGTTAGGTACTCACAGCTTGTGTACTCGCGCCTTGCCAATTGGGCACGGACGAGATGGTGCACCTTAGGTTCTCAGGTACGTACCCTTCGGGTCGTTCAGGAACCGCGGGTGGGCCCTGGAGCTACCGTCAACTGGCCCGTGCATTACCTCGACAACTGAGCAGCAGCAAACAAGCAGGACCCCCAAATTATCTGGACGCGTGAACAAATCAGATTGGGAAGCCCGGGCCAGGTCTGCCACTTTCATCCTTCTCCCCCAGGCTCTCGTCTCGATTTGGTCCCAGCAGACCAGCTATCCTCAGGTTCAGCTCCCGGCGACGTCTCGACTTTTTGGGCCCTCGAACGGCTCCGCATTCCTCTCGCCTGCGATCGTTGTCTTCTCTTTCTCAACTCCAACAAGAGACGCCACACGCACTCTTTTCTCCGCCATCGTCAACCTCAACTTGGCCACCCACCCCCCCTCCTCCACTCGTCCCCCGACCGAGTCCACCGAGTCAACAAACACCTTACTTCAGCCGTTAAGACATCACTCCTCTTGCCAATTTGAGGTGTTTATGCAATGTCAGGCAACACGCTGAGAGGCACGCCCAATCGCGGCCAGAGCCGCCCAGGCATTCCCTTTGCCACCAGCCCGGGTCCCGGTTCCTCGTCCAGCATCCCCCGCCCCGTGCTGGAAACCCACCCATCTACCACTGCCAGTGACTCCGGTGCTGCCCCTGCTGGTGGTGCTGGTGGTGCCGCCTCTGCTGTCAGCGCGAGTCGACAGAAGCAGATCAAGAGAGATGATGTAGGTTTTGGCTTTCCCCCTCCTCTTTACTCCCCCATATACGCCAAAGCGAACGAGACCAAGTCGAGGTCCCAGTGAGAAATAAGACCGCTTCACACCCTCAAGCCGACTCGGCCTGCGATGGGCTTCACTTACCACGAGCTCGAAAGAGCCAGCCGCCTGGACATGACGGATACTGACTTTTACATCAAGGCCATCCGCCGCAAGATGGAGAGCGACCTCTCCAAGAAGAAGCACCTCAGTGGCCGCGCCCGCCACACCCGAAAGGCGCCTCCCGGCACCGTCCTCGCCCTCAAGCCGAGTCCCGCCCTGCAGATTAAGCCTGGTACGACCGTCGCCGAGGCGGCCCAGCTCATGGCGGCCAAGCGCGAGGACTGTGTTCTCGTCACCGACGACGACGACAGAATCTCGGGTATCTTCACTGCCAAGGATCTGGCCTTCCGCGTCGTAGGCGCCGGCATGAAGCCAACCCACATTACGATTGCCGAGATCATGACCAAGAACCCCCTCTGCGCCCGCACCGACACGAGCGCCACCGATGCTCTCGATCTCATGGTGCGCAAGGGTTTCCGCCACTTGCCCGTCATGGACGAGAACCAGGATATTTCCGGTATCCTCGACATTACAAAGTGCTTCTACGACGCCATGGAGAAGCTCGAGCGCGCCTATTCCTCTTCGAGACGCCTCTACGATGCCCTTGAGGGTGTCCAGTCCGAGCTCGGCTCCAGTCAGCCCCAGCAGATCATTCAGTACGTCGAGGCGCTGCGCTCCAAGATGTCTGGCCCGACCCTCGAGTCTGTCCTCAACGGCACCCCGCCCACGACTGTCAGCGTCAGGACTTCGGTTCGCGAGGCTGCCCAGCTGATGAAAGAGAACCGCACAACCGCTGTGCTGGTGCAGGACCAGGGGGCCATCACCGGCATTTTCACGAGCAAGGATGTCGTGCTGCGTGTCATTGCCGTCGGCCTCGACCCCGCCACATGCAGCGTCGTTCGCGTCATGACGCCTCACCCCGATTTCGCGTCCATGGACATGAGCATCCAGGCCGCCCTGCGCAAGATGCATGGTATGTGGAATCCATGGTGCATACTAGCTAGCTAGGAACCATGTACTGACAGACCCTAGACGGACACTACCTCAATCTCCCCGTCATGAACGACGGCGGCGAGATCGTGGGCATGGTTGACGTGCTCAAGCTCACCTATGCAACACTCGAGCAGATCAACACCATGGCGACCGGCGACAACGAGGGTCCTGCCTGGAACAAGTTCTGGCTGTCGCTTGATAACGAGTCCGAGTCGATGGTCTCGGGCGAGGGCAGCCACCACCACACGAACCTCGGCTCCCGCATCATGTCACCCGATCACACGCGCGAGCGCATCGGCGACAGCGTCGCACCTGGCGACTCGGCCTCGCACGTGGGCGTCGAGTCCCCCCCGCACTCGGAGTTTATCCCCGCCGACAGCATCGCGCCGCAGTCGCCCGCCGAGCTGCCCTTCCCCTTCAAGTTCAAGGCGCCCTCGGGCCGCGTCCACAGGCTGCAGGTCATCGCCTCGCAGGGCGTGGCCGCCATGGTCGCCAACGTTGTTGCCAAGCTCGGTGCCGAAGCTGAAGCCATCGGTGGCGCCCCGACGACCGATGACGATGGCAAGATCAGCGGCGGTTTCGCGCTCAGCTACCTCGATGACGAGGGTGACTCGGTGTCGATTACTACTGACAACGATCTCCTCGAATCCATCCTCCTGGCACGCCAGGGCCACCGCGAAAAGGTCGACCTCTTCGTTCACGACCCAGAGAAGCCTCCTGTCGCCGTGGCACCGACGCCTGTGGAGCCCGTCATTCCCACGCCCGCCACGTCCACGGCCTCTGGACTTCGTGAGCGAAGGAAAGCCCACGATGACGAGGACGACGACGAGGAGGAGGAGGAAGACGAGTCTCCCAGCCGCCGCTCCCGTCGTTCCCGCCACGCTGCGCCCCAGCAGGAGCAGCTCATCCAGGGCGTGCCCAACGATCTGCTGCTTCCTGGTGCTATCGTGACGCTTGCCGTCGTCATTGTTGGTGTCTTCACCATCTCCAGGATCACCAGCAGATAGAGAGTGTATACATGGGAGAGAGAGAGAGATTGGGCCCCGTTGCGTCATGATGTGATGAGGCGTACATACTGTATTCAGAAACGCTTGTCTTCGTAGACTGTTGAGTACCCCATATTGTTGTTAATACCACACTGCACCTTGTCTTTTTGCGTCGACATTGTCAGGCCGGTTAGGTCTTTTTCAAATGAAGCCTCTGGCATTCGTATGATGTGCCCAAACCTTCACGGATGCGAGCCCATGCCTCGCCGAGGCCAAGCCAATTCTTCAGTTCATTGACAATCCGAATGCCATCAACGCCCTTGGAGCTATTGAAGCGACCATCATGAACGTGTGCTCAGGGGTCTGCGTTGATGCATTACCTAAGCATGGCCCATGCACCACGACATGCGGCTTTGGTGGACCGCGACCTCTGCAGCTCCAAAAAATGTTCCCGTGTATGGCACTGACAACGTGAACCACTGGACAATTGTCAACCCAGCAGCCCGCCATCATGTTCAGTCGAGCGATAGCCCGTCGGCAAGGTATTCACGACCTCCTGGTACCTCAACCATCCTCCCACTGACCCAATGCAGCCCGACAGGCCCTGGCCGCCCCCCTCCTCCTCCGACCATGCACCGCCCGCTTCATCTCCCAAGACACTCCCTCTGGCCTGACTGCCGAAGTCCTCGAGTCCCTGACGACAGCAGCCGCCCTCGACCAGGTCCCCAGCACCGCTGACGCCGCCAACACCCAGAACCAGCGCCGCGTGCCCTCGGCGACGAGCAGCGCCGTGCCCGAGTCGTGGAAGGAGTACCGCCGCGCCCAGAACCTCACCAAGACGATCGGCTCCGAAGTCAAGTCGGCCTACATCCCGTCCGAGCTGGTGACGAACCCGCCGCACCCGCGCGACATTACGCTCGAGCTCCTCATGGCCTCGCAGACGCACATGGGCCACCACCGCTCGCGCTGGAACCCGGCCAACTCGCGCTACATCTACGGCGTGCGCGACAACGTCCACGTCATCAGCCTCGAGACGACGGCCTCGCACCTGCGCCGCGCCGCCCGCGTCGTCGAGGAGGTCGCCTTCCACGGCGGTCTCGTGCTCTTCGTCGGCACCCGCCCGGGCCAGATGGACATTGTCACCAAGGCGGCCGGCCGCGCCGGCGGCTGCCACCTCTACACCAAGTGGACGCCCGGCGCCATTACGAACCGCGACTTTATCCTGCGCGACCGCGAGGTCGTCTTCCTCGACGAGCACGACAAGCCCGTGCCTGGCTTTGACGGACACGTCATGGATCGGAGGCCCATGGTGCCTGATCTCGTCGTGTGCCTCAACCCGATGGAGAACAAGACGTTGCTGAACGAGTGTGGCCTGGCGACGATCCCGACGATTGGCATCATCGACACGGATGCGGATCCTACGTGGGTCACGTACGCTATCCCGGCCAACGACGACAGGTGCGTTTTCTGCGTCTTACCGTGCTACATGACTTTCTCCAAGGGGGAACATCATTTGCTGACCCATCTACGTGCAGTCTTCGATCGACCAGCCTCATTGGTGGCATTCTCGGACGCGCTGGGCAGGAGGGCCAGAAGCGGCGCAAGGAAGCCGCGGCCGCGGGCCAGGTGTCGTGGGACAACCCCGTCGAGGTGCAGCGGTACATGACCAAGACGCGCGAGGCGTACAAGGCCGCCAAGGCTGTCTGGCAAGAAGACATGAAGGCGATGCAGGAGAGCAAGAATGGAAACGCCGACAGGCTGCTGGCCCTGAAGCGGACACCAACAAGCGAGTCGTCGCGGGCCAGCGTCATGGACCTGTAGATGTGGGCTACGTGAGGGGGGGGCGGACCTCAGGGTTCTGGCGGACGACGTATAGAACATGTACACCTTGTAAGAATAAATGTATACCTTTCTGAGGCCAACATAATCATGACAAAGACTTGTCGAGTACAGATCCTGATTGTGTTTCGGTTCGCTTTCCTTGATGGACCGGTAGTTGCATACCTATGCTAAATGCAGATGCTAATATGCAATGTCAAAATAGTCGCCAATCCACCTGAAAGAGCCTCATGTTGAAAAGTGCGCGCCTGCGCATTTCCCCTCACCGACAGGCCGTGCCGAGCATCATCACGAACGAACATTTCAGAACAGCCAGCCCAAGCCCGCCTGCCGACGCGCCAAGTCAGGCCTTCGTGCATAAATCCAGCTTCTTGCATCATCGACAAGTTTGGGCCCCGGCCGGAAAAAATAGCCTGAGGGCGACCAGGAAAAAGGGGGGCGGGTGTCCTACCAGTGAGAGCAACCCACATACTTGGTAGGGCTTCCTGTAGCCTTTCTTTGTAGCCCCTTTATTAATGGGATCCCTGTTTGCCGTGGTCCCTGAGATGCCCCTATTCCCGCCTGTTTGCTAGCAGATGAGATGGGGGCGATCAGACAAGACGGGACAGCAAGCAAGTCTGAGGACGGGTTACATTTTGTCTCATGCTGTGCATGGCCAGTTCACCCGTGAGATATATGCTGACTCTACTATTCATTGACAGCATAAGTCTTCAGGTGACGCTACCTCAGAACCCCTATTTCAGCATTCTCATCCCCCGCCCAGGCCCTGAAAAGAGCCGCCAAACATCGCCAACATGCCGGCCATGTTGGACGATCCAGACAGCCCGACCATTTACAGGGTCTCAGGGGCAACACCATTCCCGGAGCCCGGCTCGTCAGATCTCCCCTCTGAGATTGTGCCCCGTCAAGTGACGCTCCGTGACGGTCGCACCGCTGCGACGATGATGCCCTTCGCTTCTCGAGACCAGGTTCCCAAGTCTCTCCTCGGCTATCTCGCTGATCAGCTGAACAAGGAAATTGAGGGCGGCGATACTTATCCCATGACGGAACCCATGACGCACGAAAAGTTTGCGTCCTACTGGTTTCAAAACTTCGGCGCCCTCATGCTCCTTGGAAACATCGAGCAGCCGTCCGACCTGGCTGATCTGCCCGAGGCTTCTACGGGCGACTGGTCCAAGACGTGCCTCGGCAGCTTCTACATCAAGCCCAACTATCCAGGCCGCAGCTCGCACGTGTGCAACGCCGGCTTCCTCGTCACGGACGCGAGTCGTGGGCGTGGCGTAGGCCGGCTCATGGGCGAGTGTTATCTCGACTGGGCCCCGAAACTGGGCTACACCTACAGCGTCTTTAATCTGGTCTACGAGACCAACGTTGCTTCGTGCAAGATTTGGGATGCTCTCGGCTTCAAGCGCATCGGCCGCGTCAAAGGCTGTGGCGACCTGCGCTCCTATCCGGGCCAGCTGGTTGACGCCATCATCTACGGGCGCGACCTCGTCCCTGGCGAGTTTCCCGAGGATCTCGCCGGGGTTGAACGGTTCGACAAGATTAAATTCTATCTCAAGTACAACAAGTATCCTGTCGGCGCCGATCGCCACGAGAAGAGCCGCCTGCGCAGCGCTGCGACGCACTATCGCCTTGTCGCCGGCGACAGGCTGATGCTCAAGGACAAAGAGGTCATCCCTGACCCCCGCCGCCAGTACGAGATTGCCCGTGACGTTCACGTCGCGGCGCACGGCGGCATCAACAAGACGACGGCCACCATCGCCGAACGCTACCATTGGTCTCGCATCAAGGAGACCGTCAGCGACGTGATCCGCAACTGCGTCAAGTGCAAGGAGCTCGGCAAGGCGCCCGTCGCAGCCAACGGCGGTAGCGGTAGCAGCGGCACCGCCCGCAACCGAGCTGCGCCCGCTGATGCTGTCTCTCCCGTCTCCCCCGCGGCGCCCTCTGGCCCTCCGTCTTCGCTGTCTGCGGCGCCCCCTTCTGCCCCTGATGAGCTCGCCGCCATCGCCGACTCAGCCGTAGCAGCCTATCGGTATCCCTCCCCCGACGGCGGCGTTCACCCCTCCCAAACTCTCCGTGATCCCTCCGTTTCGCCTCTGCCGCCGACGCACGGGCACAACCCGATGCTGCAAGATAGCCCACGGCATCATGACGCGCACGCGTACCAGCCTATCGACCCGCGCATCATAGCGTCACCGCACCACCATGGCCACCATCACCATCACCATCACCATGAGCACGAGCACGACCACGACCCCGAGACGGATCCATACGCGTATCAGACGGAGACCGACTTCCAGGCCCTGCTGAACGCGACGGCCGGGGAGGATGAGAGACACGCCGAGGTGGATGATGCCGCCGCCCGACGAGAGGCCGAGGCCGTCGATCGAGACCTGGATATGTTGATCGAGCAAGGAGACGAGGACGAGACCATGTCCGGGGTGGGCAGGGGCGAGGACGACGACGTCCAGGGGCCGGTGACGCTGGATGTCACTGCCGAGGAGGCAAAGGTCAAAGCGATCTATGCATTGAGCTATGCTGATGGTTGATTACCGATGGATGTAAGGAGTCATGGGATTAGCGTTGTGGTCTTTTGTAACTGTTCTCTTCCTCATCCAAGTAGGAGGTTTGGAGATATTCAGGAAGCTACAGTCTGATTGATGAGTGCTTTTAGCTACCATCCTACGGAACAATATCCTGGGGCCGCTGCTGCTTTGGGAGTAGCGCAGTCAGAGCAAATCTCCGTTCAGGCTTGACACCAATGGTAAAATAATTCCCTGGTGGGCTACGATGCCTGAGTTAGCAAAATGAAAAACATACAACACCAGGTATTTGCCGGTGGTCACCCACCCGACTACTGATCCGGCCCTTACTGGTTTATCGATGGGA